TTAGTTAAGTCCAAGATGGAAACAAATTTGGGGATTATCTGCAATAGTACCAGAGTGAATGAGATCATCTATTAAAGTAAGAAGAAAAGAGGGTCTATTGTCAGATGAAATGAATACACATTTTATGTAACAAATGAATTTGCTAAGAATATTTGCTGATATATCAATGAAAATACATATTTTAAAAACAAACACTTAGATAGCACTTACTATGTGCTAGACACTGTTCTAAGCACTTAACAAGTCTGTAGTCATGTAATCCTCAGTAATCCTATTAAATTGATACTACTATTATCCCCATTTTACAGACAAGGAGGCTGAGGCACAGATTGGTTAAGAAGCTTGTGCGAGTTCACACAGGCAGTAAGTGAGACACTCTATGTTCAAACCAGGAAGTCTGGCTTCAGAGTTCTCACGACTAAGATTTATTTATACAGTTAAAGGCCATCCTAGAGAAGTTTCTATCTCCTTAGCCTCTCCCCAATTCCATAGCACTCCCCGATTTTCACCTGCTGCTCTGGATATGTGGCAGAGTGCACGTGTGTTTTGGCTTTTCCGAGACTCTATCTCTGAGAATAAAAACTAAGAATGTAGAACTGTGCAGGTCGGTTGAGTTAACTTGGAGAGTGTTTGCCAGCAGGAGGAACAGATGCTGCTTAAGTCAGAAGAAATGAGTGTTCGCTCCAAGCCCTGCTTTAGAAAGCCTCTTTGTTTTATGACTCTGGGTGCAAGCAACCCTTTTAATTTTGTGTTTTGGATTCCAGCCATAGGAGGCCTTCTTTAATGTAGCAGATGGCTGGAGACAGGCTAGCTGGGCTCCTACACTCTCCCTCAAGCAGTCTTCCCTAGAGAGGGCTCTCCCAATTATGTTGCTCTGAAAAAGAGAAGAGAACTTAAAATGGACACATTAAATTTACACCACACATAAAGTAACCACTGCTTTAAGCATCTGTAAACATTTGGAGGTCAGGAAACCCTTTGAGAATCTGATTAATGCTGTAGAATTTTTGTGCAGAAAATTGGTGAATAGGTATATACACAAAAATGAGAATATTTGTTCTAGGGGGCTCATGGAGTCTCTGGTACCCAACCCTGAAGTTTCAAGGGGTCTGTGTCCTTGAGGTTCCTGTGCTTCTAATGGAGGCAGCTGTCATTTTTTTACTTTCCTTTTCCTTTTTCCAGTCCAGTAGGATTCTCAACTTGTCGGTTGTGAAAATAAGGGTCTGTGGATTATTAAGGAAGCATTTGACATCATAACACTCAAATTTTATTGCAAAAAATCCTTTCAAATGTTGAATAAAGTCACTTTAGTATATTCTCTGGCTGGCAGAGAACCTTGGCTCATTCTGTTAAAAACTAACCTGAGGTTCTTTTGAAAATTGTAACAATGATTTTTCTTCTCTCTCTTGATTGGATTGTGGGTTATGTCTTTGCACATCATTTCCTTGGGAGTTCACTCTTCTCACAACTTTTCCCAGTTTAGCTCTGGCTCCTGCACTGTTTCCAATACTAAGGATTAAAGGTGGAGTAGTCTGGCAATGGAAGAACAGATACAGAATTTTCAGAACTTGGGAAAGCAGTTTTATCATTTCCAGGACACTGTCTAGAGGAGTCATACAAACTTAGATATTTCTTGCTCTGATGTCTACTTGCCATGTCTGTGTGAGGAAGTGAAAAGCCCTTGAGGAGGCTCTTAGGACCCTTTATGGATCTCCATGATGTCATTCATTCACTGTTCCTGCTATGCTGGGTAACTCCTCCAAACGTCATCACATTCTTTCATTTCTACTGGGTGTGCACTGGTCATTTCAGGAGAATCTTCTGAGCTACAGCCAAGGGTGGAATTGAGATATATATTAAGGATCTTGAAACCAGAAACAATTTGCCTCAATTGCCCTATATTTCAAAATAAAAATTTAAAATATGGAGAGGCTAATCATTCCAGTTCTTCATCTGAAATTTACTTTTTTTGAATTTGGAAAATTCCAGGTGGAGTAGGTCGTGGACTAAATATTTAGGCAGGTTCTTTCCACCAAATGAATAATTAAAGCAATGACTAAAAAAAAATTAAAGAACAGGCCCATTTTCTCCCTAAACATCAACATCAACCCAATTAAAGAAAAATGATTCTGGGCTTAAATCAGAGTCTCTCAACCTCAGCACTATTGACATTTTGGGCTGGACAATTCTTGGTAGAAGGAAGCTGTCCTCCGTACTGTAGAATGTTTAGCAACATCTCTAGCCACTATCCAGTAGATGCCACTAGCACTACCTTCTTAGGTATAACAACCAAGTTTATCTTCAAACATTATCAAATATGTTCCTTCTCTGGGGGGCACAGGCAATCCTGGTTGAGAAGCACAGGCCTAAATTATCCAGAAATATGTTTCTTGACAAATCAATTAAAATCAAGCATCAAAGCTGCTTTTATCTAATCTTCTTGGTCAGGTGGATGCTAAACTGAAAAAGCAGTTTGTCTACTTTGATACCTCACTGACTATATCTATCTGTTCAGATCATCCTGTTCTACATTTGTTTTTAGATCCCATTTGATTGCCAAAACCAGGAGCTTCCTTACTCCATCTCTGGCAGGCCTGTTCGTTTGCTGTCTGATATCTTTTTGACTATATAGATATTTAGTGATTGGTCTGATTTTCTATACCTTTGGAGGTCTGGATAATTTCTCAGTCCTTTGGGGGCATCTGTTGTGCTGTCAAAGTTTCCATTCCTTTCTTCTATGTTATCATCTTTTTCTGTTTAAGACCCAAACTTAGCCCACCTAGCAACTTACAGAGGTTGTAGTCTCGAGTTGATTTGATCAGTATGTGGACACACAGTTCAGAGAACAAAACTGTTGGCTTTGAGATTGCAAATGTGATTGTTTAAAGGAATCCTCTAATCACAAATTGTTCCTTACATATGTGCAGTGACTGCAAGACAGCAGTTTGTTTTGGAAAGAATTTTACTAGCTGTTTGAAGTGAGGAGTGATTCTAGTGCACAAAACATTTAAACCAAATTGTTATGTCTTACAGTGTTCAACAAAGCACTCTGCAAACATCAGTTCGGGGGTGGGGGAGCGGTGGGGGGGAGAAGGCATCCTCCAAGGCAGGGTTATAGGCACTTCTGGGAGTTGTAAACCCATGCAGACTCCAGAAATATGTGCCTTCCAAGGGGCTGGAAACTTCTGAATTAACAACAAATAATCAGCGAGTGTGACAAAGAGTTAAAATACACAGACTTTACTTTCACAATGTTTATGATGTAGTAAAGAGGTTTAAGATGTAGACCCGAGATTGCAAACTGATGGCCAGCAGGCTAAATTGGGCCTATGGATTTGTTTTGCTTGGCTCGGACAGGGTTGGCCTCCTGAATGTCTAAGAGAGAGAAAAAGAAATAATGAAAGAAGTTGCTAAACATATAAAACTGGGAATTTTGTATTAAAGTCTAGATTTCCAGCTGTTTTTGAAAAATCACAAGACCTGCCAACACTAGGTCCTTATTCCCACATTTCTCCAGAGTGACAGTTGACTGGAGCTGCCCCCTTTGATCAGAGCAGACACCATCTGGTTCCCCACCCTTGTCCAGGGCACTCCCTTACCAGGCCTCTGTCCACATTCGATGTGGCCACCCTAATGCAGACTGCTGCAAAACTTACTTTGTCTTTTTAGTGCAGAAACAAATCACTGGGGCCTGGAGCAAAATAGCAGCAGTCCACTTGTCTGTCAAGTGAGATGACCCAGGCTCAGGCTATGAAGGTAGCAATAGAGTGGTGAGAAATGGTCGGATTTGGGATATATTTTGAAGGTAGAGTCAATAGGATTTCATGATGGATTGGTTTAGGATATGAGAGAGAGGATTAAAAATGACTCCAATTTTGATTTTGTGAATAAAATGTTTTTACTAATCATAACATGAAATTAGCATGACATCCCATTAGAATTGAACCAAGATGAATAATACTGTTATAAAATTTACATTTCTCACATTCATTTCAGAGGAAGATAGTACATATTAGGGCTCTTCTGGCTCTTGTAAATTGGTATCAATAAATCTTTTTTTTATTTTTATTTAACTTATTTAGAAAAAAAACCTATAGTGGAATATTGGAAAACCAATATTGAACTTTTAAAATAAAAATAATAGTTATTTTAATAGTTATATTTTTATTTTAAGTTATTTTTATAATAGTTATTTTTATTTTAAAATAAATGCTGGGAAATGCTGAGAGTGTTGGAAAATTGAAGGTAAAAATCATTGAGAAGAGTCTCAGTTACTGAGAAAAGAGGCTCTTGCCTCAAGAAGTGGAATGGAGAAATGTCACCCTCTGGATGGCCTGTCTGCTATTCAGTGGCCCCACCTGTCCAAAGGCTGAGTCCCCACTGCATATCCTCCCATCTCCCAGAAAGTGGAGCATGTGTGTATCTTGAGCTCCCGGTTTCGACAGTGCTACTTCGGGGAACTCCGAGGTGGGCACTCCATAGGCCTGCGAAGGTGGCTGATAGAGGAAGCTCCAAGATTTCCATCTGGGAAGGGTTTCAGGGATCCATCTAGTAAGAAAGTGCGAGAAGTTCAAAAACTTGTTTTGAAACTACTTTTCACAGAAAGAGGACACCCTTCTCTCAGATTTATATTACAAGTGAAAAAGAGTAGCAAAGTTGTATCCGATGTCTTTATTTACAC